TCTCCCATGCACAAACTATTTTGGTCGGACGCAAGGGCACGCAGTCTTTTTGTGTTACGAATCGACGATACACTTAAGGCGCACCACAGAAAATACTGAACAAAAACTAAACAATCCTACTCATACTTGCAGCTTGACGAAATACAAAATTGGTGACAGCTGAATTTTTTTAACGCGGGCCGATCAATACCATTATATAAACCCGAAAACGAACAGCATCTCTGAAACTGGGAGGGAGTGCATTTGATAACAACAAGGATTGGAAATTTCGCTGCTTCTACAACTTTCAATGAGCCACGAGCGGAAACTTGACGCCACCGTTGATTGCAGTCAATTCCAATAAAAAATGTTATAGACTTGAAGTTCAAAATTATCTTCTTGCTCATTTTTCAGTGTAGGCGACGTAATAAAATAGATAAAATGATAGAACAGACTCGATTTTCGCGCATAGGATAACTCAGCTCAGGGTGAAAAAAGTGAAAGACTTCAATATCGTACTCAGGGCTGAAGTTTACATCATGAACATTTAGCATAAACGACTGCTTTTATCACATCAGTCAAAGGTCATGACGGCTCGAAATAATCGTATTTGCCTAACAATAAGAATACTTCCAGTGGCGTCACTTTTGGTACTCGAGATTTCACCCTGGACGGCATAACACGTATGGAATTTACAGTACGCCTTGTCACTAAACGTGTGCAAGTGCACGTAAAAAATTTGAATGTAACCGTTATACGTCTCTACATGGGCACAAAAGAAATTCCCATTCACGAGGTTGGTCGTGCGGAAAGAGTTCCTAAGTACAACGCTAACGAGCTTAAGATTTCTAACAACTTCCCTCAACTTCTGGACATCTACTCGTCATGTGATCTCCTGCCGAACCGCAATTACACTCTCGCCTTGGAATATCAAACAAACATAAACAACCCGAAGTATGCCGGGATATTCACTGCACCGTATAAGCATGGATCAGAGAATAGGTAAACGTAGTTCTTCCCAGTGTTGTCTAAGACTCCGACCTGCACAGGTTACAGGTTCAAGACCGCCACACATCTGCAGCCTCAAGAAGCACGAAGCCTGTTCCCCTGCATCGACAGTCCAGAAGCAAAGGCAATGTTCCAAGCCGTCATAGTCCACCCAGTGGGAACCTATGCCTTGTTCAATATGAAGGAAGCAAATATCACGACTGAGGGGTAGGTTCTAGCGTTCCTTTCCAGCCCCACCGCTGGCGTTTTGTTGGCCCCTATTCTTATTGGCTATCGTACTTTGCTGTAGATGTAAAATTTGTTATGCACAAAACCGATCCGTCTTTTTCTTCGATTGTTCACTCTCTGAG